TGATTGTATTTTTTCTAATTGAAAATTTTCATTCAACCCGATATTTAGTTCAATCTGGCTTTTCGAATAAAAATGAGAAAGGATGTTGATTTTTAGAAAATCGTAAACATTAGCCGAAATATACTAAAATTAAATCAACAATACCCATCAATTTAGGGTGCATTTAAGATTGATCGATTTTTGGAGTTAATAAATTGAAAAAAAAAAATTAGAACTACCGGCATGCATTAAATTTGGGCCGATTTTATGGCAAATGAATGATAAGGAAATTTTAAATTCGAAATGAGACCTAATTATTTTCAATCAGAATGTTTTGAATAAAAAATGAGAATGTATTTTGATTTCTATTTAAATGAGAATGGATTTTGATATTTGAAATTTGCCAAAATTAAATCAACAAAACCCATCAATTTAAGGTGCATTTATGGATGACAGACCGATTTGGGGTTAAATTAAAATAAAAATTAAAAAACTGCTGAAAATGGAATGAATTAAATGTTGAAGGACTTTTTTTGTTAATATTTTTGGTAAATAAATTGTCTCTTTATATTTAGATAGATAGATACTTAATACACATTTATAATAGCGTATACAACAGTGTGCAGACTCTAATATAAGTACAGCAGGCCTAGAGCTGTAAACAAACCGAATGTTCGCGAACAAAAGCTCGTTCGAGCTCGTTCGTATTCGACAAAAGCTCGTTCGTTTGTTAATCGAGCCAAGTTCAAACAAAAAATTAGGCTCGTCTAATAATCGAACGAACACGAGCTCGTTCGTGAACGTTCGATTATGTTCGTGAAAATTAAATTAAAATAATTATTTTTATTTTTTATATATTTACATAATATTTTTATTAAAAAAAGCTAAAATTTAATATAATTTCTATATATTAACATAATATTTTTAATAAAAAATATAATATATAATTTTTTATTTTATTCTTTTATTTTTGAGTTCGAACGAGTTCGAACAAACAAATTTCGAGTTAATCGAACATATTTAAAAAATTTATGTATTAAATTATTCGAACACGAACGAACTCGAACTTTGACGAACAATTAAACGAACGAACTCGAACACGATTTTTTACTCGAAAAATAAACGAACGAACACTAACATTGTTCGAACGTAAACGAACTCGAGCTTGAACAACTCAAGCTCGGTTCGGTTCGGTTCAGTTTGTTTACAGCACTCTGCAGGCCTATCCATATGAATTCATATTTATGTACACCATTAATATGTAAAAAATATATTATATACAATAGAACATTCTAGAATCTTGAATTAAAGACGTTTCATTCTGTAGTTTTTTTCAATTGCTTGATTCAATTAGTTTCTCAATAGAGTTGATTAATTACTAATTTGTAAAATTGGCCAAATAATTTTAATTTCCGTATTCCTCGTGGACTTTAGGCAACATAAATATTCATTTTTTTATTTTACATTTTTTTATTTTTTTTGTTTTTGTTTTTGTTTTTACACTACTGCTATTGTAAAATACTGTAGATAAATTAATTAACACATGTATTTTTCCTCTTTAAATTTGCTCGGTTTGCTATGAAGCCAACAGTTGGCTCCACAGTGGAGCCAATATTTTATATACAACAAATAAACCTACCATATCATCAATAATATTAAAAGCATCTGGTAATGAATTAATTAAAGATGGGGAAATTAATTAGTCACACACGAAAAGAAAATTAATTTAGAGGAGAAATTAAGAAATACAAAAGGCATGCATGCAACAATAATAAAGTATCTCATAATACTACGTAGTACTAAAACAAAGCTGCTGGGCTAATTGCATGTTCCTAATTAAAACTCAAAAATGAAAATTAAAATA